TTTATGAGTCCAATAAAAAGACAATTGGATTTTTCTTGGTATTGCAAAGTAGGGTATGGTTCCAGAACATTTCTTCGTGTTGGGACCTTCGCCCATTGGGTCTGGGACCATTCCTTGCCCTATCCCTCGAAATTTCGCAAAGTTACAATCGTTCTTTCTAAATTTTTAAAAATTGGCTATAACTTACCGAAATTTCGAGGGATAGGGCAAGGAATTGTCCCAGACCCAATGGGCGTAGGTCCTCAACATGAAGAAATGCTTTGGAATTATACCCCAACTTTGAACTACTAAGAAAAATCCAATTTTTTGCTGATTGGACTTTTCATTGGACTCATAAAAGTTCATTGGACGCATAAACTAGACCAGCGCCCAAATAATTTTCCATTTATAAAATAATTTCAGAGAAAATCTATGTTGGAACATTTTACCGAAACAAATGGAGGAAAATTTAAATGTAAAATCTGCAGACGTGAAATTAAAAACGATAAATTATCTGGGTTAACAAAACATCTTTCGAAACATTATTTTAATTTTATCAATTTTGAACAAACAAATACAGAGATAAATGTAAGTATTATTAAATATATGTATGTATAAATATAGAAAACGATAAAATTTCTGAAAATAATATTTTTATAAGTAGATAAATTGTAAGCGTACTATTATGTTTATTTTAGATGCAGCAAGGTGAAGGAAGTATCATTGGTGATGGTGGCAACCCAACAAATTCACAAGAAATTCCTCAAGTAATTTTGTATTCTCTCATTAGTCTCTCCTTTTCTTCTTACTTTTCTCCCATTTTTGGGTAACTATCAAAAATTAAACTAGACTTCAACTTTTCTGATATGATCTGGATTTTCCGTGTTAAAATACAGAAGGCGGGGAAACCTGAATAAACATTTAAATATCCGGTTTTCGGGCAACATGACTTGATAATCTCTTATAATTTTTTCATAGTTAATTAGATTTCTTCCCCCCCCCTTTTTCGTGGTTAGCTAGATTTCTTCCCTTTTTTGCGCCGCAGACGAATTTTTTGATTTTAGTGTGTCAGACTGCAAAAATTCACGTTTTAAGCCACTAATTTTAAGAAAAAATTCAACGAATTAAACGCCGTTTAGAAGGACCGTATACCGTTTATCTGAGACCCGTTTACCGTTAATTAATTTACCGTTTAGCTAAACGGTTTTGTCCCACCCTAGTTAATAACATGAATATTCCAAAAAATAATGGAATGATTAATGCTATATTTAGGAAATACCGACTAGTTATTTATCGATGCATATTCATCATTTTAAATTTTAAAATTTTATTAAACCTATAATAACATTTAATTGTAAATTCATAAATAGGAACATATGTCAAAAGAGGAGATGTTTAACCAGCTTTTTGGGTCAGATCACGATGAAGGTATGTTTGTATGATTATACATAATTAAGGACCGTACTGGCAGTTGCATATCTAAATCACCGAAAACTTTTTCAGCCAATTCTACATAATAACAAATAAACAATCAATTCAATAGTAATAAAAAGGGTCATAGCGCCGCTCGCTATGATGGGTTATTTTTATTATTTATTCAACCTAGTACCTCCGGTAATACCAAGGCATATGTCAAAAGAGGAGATGTATATGTCAAAAGAGGACAACCTTTTTTCCTTCTTTAAGATTGACATAATGATCTCTGGGTCTAAGAGTCTCTCTCTCTCTAATGCTAATTATATGCTTATTTTAAAAAGATGTTGTGCCTGCATCACAAGATGTTGTGCCTGATCATGATGACTATGGGCATCATGATCAATATTTGACCGATGGTAATAAAACATTTCACGAAAAATAAAAGTTTATAATATAAATTAACAGCTGAATATGAAGTCCAAACACAAAAGACAATTGAAGAGTCCGTTCGTCAAATGCGAGGTCGAGGAGGCCCATTAATAAGAGGTATAAAAAATGAAAATTTATGTAAATTAATTAAGAGTAATTTTAATTAATAAATTATATATCCATAAAATTTAGATCAAAGAGAACAATCTAAAAAGGGAAAAGAGAAAGTAATTGAAGCTTCAAGCGATTCTAATTGAAAATTATTAGTCTTTAAATGAAAGACGAAGGGTTTTATATGAGTTTAAATTTTTTGAAATTTAACAAAAGGGTCTAAAACAGACAAATTCATGCGTTCGGATTTGCTATCCGTAACTATTTATATCCGTGTAATTTTTTAGGCGTATTCATCCGTTCAGTGAAAAAGATTGGAAGAATTTGAATTTTAAAGGCCAATACGGGTTGCAAGCGAGAATTATGAGAGGGGATATCCGCGGATTTCGAGTATCATATCATTATTCATCCGTATACGTCCGATTTAAAAATAACACTATCCATATCCAGCGGTCCTTATTCTGAATTATCCTGATATTCATTTAAAAACTAACATTCAAAACATGTGTTTTTATATTTAAATTTGGGATTTTAAGTATAAATATATTTTTTAAATTTGTTTAGTATATTTTAGTGTTAGGCAAATGCATTTTTCCGGGGCCGGTACCGGTAGTATCGAAAATAGTATCAAAAAAATATAATAACATTTTATCCGGATAAAAATTTTTAGTTTTATCTTTCTTATATTTGTTCAGCTTTCTAAAATGTCTAGAAAAATATAAAAGTTAGATGTTTGGTGCTTTAAATATTTTTATTTTATTTTATGGCAAAATTTACTTGATTTAATTATAAAGTGCATTTATAATTAAAATTTCAACTACACCATGATGGCTCCCGGAGATTTGGGGAGTGGACATTTGGGGAGTGGACAATTGGGGAGTGGAAATTTGGGGAGTGAGCGGACATTTTGGGCGTGGACAATTGGGGAGTAGACATTTGGGGAGTGAGGATTAAAAAATAATTTGAAAATCGATTTTTTGGACAATAAAAATAATTTATACACTACTGAAGGTGATTTTGTCGAGTTATAAAGGGTAAAATTCAATTCCCCTACTTTTTCTTTGCTCAACGTATTAAAAAGTGGTCAGTCAATATTAGGTTATAGAACTCGTCGAGCTTTGTCGAATGTCAAAGCTCCCACTGTATCGTTTTTAGCGCCGCAGGCAAGAATTTTAAGAATATTTGAAGGAAAAGAAGCAAGATTTATTCCTTTTTTATCACCGCAAGCGAAAATTTTGAGAACTTTGGAGGCCAGGAAACCAGATTCTCTTTCTTTTACTGCGCCTCAGGCGAAAATTTTGAGAATTTTGAGAGGTTAGTTAAACGCCGTTTAGAGTGACCGTAACCGTTTATGCCGTTTAGCTAAGACTATACCGTTCCGTTTAATTTTACCAAAATACCATTTACCGTATACCGATTACGTTTAGCTAAACGGTTTTGTGCTACCCTAATTTTTAGTGAAATTCTGACCCCCGACCGAAAAGTCAATCCCGACTCCGAACATCCGACATGCCTTCCCCGGCAAACCCCGATCACCGACACACCAACCCCCGAAGGGAGGTTGCTATCCTACTTTTATGGTTGTACTCAACCGGCTACAGACATCACAATATCTTTAAAATCTTTGAAAGCCCACAAAAACACCTTCACGTGTGTATGTATAAATTATTTTTATTGTCCAGAAAATCGATTTTTAAATTATTTTTTAATCCTCACTCCCCAAATGTCTACTCCCTAATTGTCCACTCCCCAAATGTCCGCTCACTCCCCAAATTTCCACTCCCCAATTGTCCACTCCCCAAATGTCTACTCCCCAAATTTCCGGACATGACCATGATGCTCCCTCGAAAATTATTAGTATTAAAGTGCAACTTAATAATAAATATTTTTGTTAATTTCAATAATATTTAAAATTAAGAGACTATCCAAAATATTTTTATACACTTTTAAAAGTTGTTCAAACATAAAGTGTATGTAGGGTTTTTTTCCTAATATTTAAAGAAATCCTAGTTCTAAGTTCAATTAATTCAAAATCCAATAAAGTTTATTTCGCAAGAGAAAAAATACAATTAATTTAAAAGCAGAAGAATATATTTTATAATTATTTTATTGAAGAGTGATTAAAGGGAAGTTAAAACAATATATTTATAGCCAGTGTTTTTGGAGGAAAATGGATTTCAAAATATATGTGTGTGAAATTTTAGTAGTGATTAATATATTTCATAATTTTAATGTTATTTTAAATAATTAGTTGACATTAATTCGCAGGATGCGACAGTCCCGCTGCGAAAATTGGATGAATGGGTTGGACATTGAATAGGGGGAGAAGATTATTAGGCAAATAGACAATGGGGACCATGGTGTTAGTAACAATAGTGTTTTGTGGTGGAGCTTGGGGTTGCGGAACTGAAAATTGATTTTGATTATTTTGGATTGGCCAGTTGGGGTTTACGTTGTTATAATTGGTTATAATATGGGGCTTTCGCCCAACAACAGGGGGGACCGTAAATTTTAATGAGTTTAATGGGGGAATGTGTGAAATGTTTCTTTTCATAAATTTCTTATTCTTATTCCTTCGCAATTTGGCCAATTGATTTTTTGAAATGGTTGATGCTGGGAGACGTTCAACAAAGCCAGAAGGGAGCACACGTACACGGCTGATTGGAAATTTGATGGGAGAGCTGGGTGGAGGCGGTGGGGGATCCAAAATCATTTTCAGTTCCGGAGACGCAAGCGATTGTGGTGGTTGAATTGGCAGTGGGATTTCATCCACAGGCATGTTGGTTGGTGGGGGTGTTGGTGATGGAGGAAGGATTGGTGGATGGGCGGTTGGTTTAGCGGTAATTGATATTTCTGAAAATTTAGAAGAAATTTCAGCGGTGGGGGCCGCCTGAAGTGAGGATTCGGTAGTTGCCACCAAATTAGTATTTATAGACATTGGTTCGGGAGAAGAATTAGATGAATTATTATTAATAGTAAAGTTTAAATATTTTCGTAATTTATAAATTTCGTTTTGGGGAATAGGGGTTCGAATATTTTTCGTTTTCATCTAAATTTATTTTATATTATTGAGAGGTAGGAGGGCGGGGAGGGTCGCTACGGAGTATTAATTCTTCTAAATTATTTCTAATTTCCGACATTTCTATCGGTTGATCAATTTGAGGGGATTGGGGCCGAGAAAAATATTTATAAAGTAAGGTAGCTAATTTTAAAATAAGAAGTATAAATAAGGAAACAAAACAGCCTAAAAGGGAGAATATGGCTGCCGATGATTCTGGGTGTTCTTGAATAAATGAGGAGAGGGATTCCATACCGAAGTAGAGGGCCGAGCTAGCCAGAATTGGTAGCGAAAGTTTTGCGGTTGGTTTTCCAACCGTTTTGAAGACTTTACTTATTGTGTATTTTCCTTTTCTTTTTGGAAATGGGAGGGCAGGGGGTGGTAAAAATAAAATAAGGAAAAATATTATACAAATTGAAGACAATTCAAATTGTTTTATTAAAGTTTTAACCGGCCTAGTATTTGTTGTATGAGGGGAAAGGCTTTTGGATTTTTTGTTGGTTTGCCTATGGTTTTGTTTATGGACGAATTTTAAATGTTTGTACACATAATTTATTGTTAAGCCTATTAATACAAGAAGGATTAGGAAAGATGAGTAATAAGCCCAATTTGGGCCTTCAGGTTTAGTTGGTTGGAAATAAGCGGAAAAATCCAAAGAAAAAATATTAATAGAAATTATGTTTCCCATAATTAATTGAAGAAATTTATTATTTAAAAAATGATAATTAAATTGAAAGGTTGAGAGATTTTATATGCTTTAACTTGAATCTCTCCTCCCATTTTTAACATAAATAAAAATTAATGATTTAAAAAAATTTTTAATAAAAAATTCCTGGGAAAGTGTTAGAAATTGCTTGTATTTGTGTTTACTGGGAAAGTATTGTTGTAATTTCTTTATTTTCTTTTGTGGGATTAGCTGGGAGATTTATTCTATTATTAATTTCATCTGTTGTTTCTAAGGGACAGAGATGACTAATGGAACGATTTGTTCTTCGTCCGGATGAGAAACGAATGGTTGCGATATCGGGAATGTTATCTTTATTACATTGTATTTTCTCAATCACTGCAGTTCTCCAAACGGAGACGGGGGAATTTTCAACAACAATTACCAATTCTCCACTAGTTGGACTTCGGTCGGAATTTTTTCTTAAATTTTTATGCCTTTCTCGGAGTGATAAAATATATTCTTGGGCCCATTGTTTCCAAAATTTTTGGCTTGTTTTTGTTAAGGTTTTCCATAATTTTTGAAGGGATATTGTGTTACTGTTTATTTCGAGAGGGTGGGGTTGTGGACATAAATTAGAGATTGGGGAAATATTTTTGTTTAATGGACGTATAAAATCAATTGGACGTAATGGCCGTATTTCCTTTGGGTCGGTTGAATCGAAGGTTATAGGCCGATGGTTTATAATATTTTCAATTTCTCCTATTATTGTTAGCGCTTCTTCAAAGGTAAAAATTTTGGGAATAATTCCGGTTGATAGAGTGCGGCGGAGATGAAATTTTATTAAGCCCACAAATCTTTCGTAGTGACCTCCTCTCCAAGCCGCGTATGGTACTCGAAGGTTCCAAGTTGGGGGGTAAGTTTTTAGGGAATTTTTAAATGAGACAAATGTTGGAGCGCTATCCGAATAAATGACTGTGGGAGGGCTAAATTTGGCAGAAAATCTACGATAAGCCAGTGAAAATTGTTGGGCGGATTGATTTGGTACTAAGTCTAAGCATATTCCACGGGTTGTTAAACAAACCCATAAAAGAATGTAAAATTTTTGATTATTTATTTCCGCATATTTTAAACGTAATGGTCCGCAATAATCTAACCCTATGGCGGAAAATGGACGGGATGGTGTCACTCTGTCTTCTGGAAGTTGTGGAAAGGGTGGTCGGTTAAATGGCACAGAATTAAATTTGCGGCAGGGTAGGCAACTTAAATATAGAGTGTGTTGTACAACCCGTCTTCCACGTGGTATCCAAAATTCTCTTCTAATCATTGAGAGTACGGAAAGTGGGCTGGCATGATGGTTTAGTACATGAATTTCATAAATTAGTAATTTTGTGAGGTGGGAGTTGGCTGGCAGGAATATTGGCATAATAGTATTTTGTGGGAGATTACTATTTCCTAACCTGCCATTTGCTCTAATTAAATTATTTTCATCGTTAAATAGGCCTAATGAATTTTCTTCCTGTTCGGTTGGAGGGTAATAATCTTGTTCTTGTTTAATGAGAATTTTCAAAGCCGAGCGTAGTTCTCGGATGGATATGTTTAAATTCTTAATTCTTGGGTATTTTTTCAAAAATGGGGAAATTGAAGAGTGTCCATTATAAGCAATAAATCTCAAAACATACGCAGTAACACGAAGGAGTTTTGGCAGGCGAGAAAATTTATTAATTTCCATTAGGGGTGTCGGTTTTGTTTGTGTAGTGTGGAATGTCATTATGGGGTGTTCTTCAATAGTTTCTGTGGTTGGTTTGTAGTCGTTTGATGAGAATGATGGAATTTCCGCATTTTCCTTTGGCCAGGAATTTGTTGCACACGACAACCAAGATGGTCCATATACCCATAATTCATTTTTAAACAACTCACTTGGGTTTGCAATTCCACGTGTGCCCAAGTCCGAGGGGTTTTGACTTCCTGCTATGTGCCGGACTTTTAAATTTGGGGTGGCTCGGATGGGTTTGATACGGTTATAAATAAATACATCTTTAATGGGTAGGCGAGAATTTAACCAGGAAATAACTACGGACGAGTCTACCCAGAGGGTCAAATTTTCATCCATATGTGTGGTGGGAAGTTGTGATTTTACGTAAATAAGGGCTCTCAATCCAATTAAAGCTGCAACCAATTCCATTTTTGGTATAGTGAATTTCTGACCCTTTTTTGTAATGGGTTTAAGCTTTGTTTTACTAAATAAGAGAGATGAATGGATTGATTGGGGAAGGTGGATACGTAAATAAATAGCGGCGCACATGGCCTGTGAAGAAGCGTCACTAAAACAATGTAATTCGATTTGTTTCACATTTAAGGGGTCGGGACATATACATCTTGGAATTGAGAATTTTAAGTCTTTCCATTCGCAAAATAATTGTTTCCATTCATTTACTTTTTCTTCGGGCACAGGGTCTGTCCACTTCAAATTTTTGAGCCATAAAGATTGGAAAAATAATTTTAAGGGGAGTAAAATGGGTGATAAAAACCCACATGGATCATAAGCTGATGCAACAAATGAGAGAATGTCGCATTTCTTTGGGTTGGAGATTTCAGGGGGATTTGGTAAGTTAAGTCTAAATTTATCTTCGATTGGGCAATATTTAATACCAAGAAATTTAATTTTTGAGCTGGGGAGTTTGTCCTCTTCTGGGACGTCTTGTATAATTTCAGGGCAATTACTTACAAATTCTCTGAGTTTCATATTTGCCGTTGCAAAAAGCTTTGTTGCCTCAAGACATTTTAATTTTCCTTCTGTTATAAAGGAGGCTGTAAGAAGTATATTGTCTACATAAATATTTTCTTCCAATTCTTGTGATAGAGAGGATTTGTTTTTTAAAAGGTGGTAGCGAATTGTTGCTGCAAGGAGAAATGGTGAACAGATTAGTCCAAATGGTACACGGGCAAATCGATAAATTTGGATATTAGCCGAGGAGAGAGGAAGTGAAATGTCTTGTAACCACAAAAAGCGTGTTACGTCACGATCAGAAGGATTTATACTAATTTGAAGGAAGGCCTTTTGAATATCGGCCGTGATTACGTATTTAGGGAGGCGGAATTTAAATAAAAGACCGACAAGGTCATTCAGAAGGTTAGTTCCAGAGAATAAGCATTCGTTAAGTGACAGGTTCTTTCCTAATTTTGCTGAACCGTCGTAAACTATTCGAACCGTTTTCTTGTCCTGACGTATTACTGGGTGGTGGGGAAGGTAAAGAAGTGGTACACAATTTTGATTTGGGTTTTGAACCTTTTCTATTATTCCCAATTGGAGCTGTTCTGTGAGTATTTCTTGGTATTTGGAAATAAGCGTTTTATCATTTTTCAAGGAATTTAATACAGAACGCAAGCGTCCGTAACATAGAGGAAAATTCGTTGGTATTGGCAAATGGGCTGGATCGGTTTTAAACGGGAACTTTATTTCATAACGCCCGTCAACAAATTTGATGTCTTTAACGAATTGGGTTGATACCTTGTCTTCAGAGTTTTCCCCGGGATCCTCTTTTATACCGACTCCTTCTAGGGAAAGAAATTGTTGTATTTGATCATCGATTTGGGAGCAAAAATTAGTATTGTGGATTAGACTATTACTAGGTGAGTACGGTTTACCGGCCACAATAGGGCCAAGAAGAGTGCTAACTAAAGTATATCCCGATGGAAGCTTTTTTATTGGGGTGGGTTCAAGATCATAATAGTAATCACTTCCTAATAATATTACTGGGTATATTATTTCGGCGGGAGGCAAAAATTCGGAAGTGCTATTTATTATCTCAAAAAATGGGGGAATATATTTTGTGGGTTGTGTTAAATGATTAATTGTACAAGCATTAATGTAAATGGATCGGCCGTCTATAAGTTTTAAGCCAAATTCAGTAGAGAAGGTGGTGGTCGTTTGACATGAGGGATTGCTGAATACTCCTAAATTAACTGTAGTGGGTTTCATATTTAGTCCTAATGAAATTGCTTCGGACTTTTGTATGTAGGAGTGGGTACTAGCATCATCTAACATTAAAAAGCCTGTACTACGTTTCGACGGGTAAGTCGGATTGAAGAACTCTACTCTAATACATTTAAGCAGTATCGGTGGGCTTGAATTTGGTTTTCGAGGGTAAACATACCGTGATGAAGTATTTATTTGGGCGGGGCCAATAGTTTTTGTTTCTGGGTTTGGCGATGGCTGTTGTTCATTTTTATATTTTGAATGATTCTGACTTGCGGGAAATTCATTAAAATTTTGTGAAGATGTGCTAGCAAATAGTGATGGTATTTGTGAAGGTTGGGGTTGTGAATAATTGGTTTGATAAGGAAATTGTAAATTAGTACGATTTGAATTATTGGTATTGTACCGTGAATTGTTAAAAGCGTTTGTGTTATTTTGGGGTGAATTAAATAGAGCTCTGCAAATAGCTCTTGGGTGATTGTTTTGACAAAAGGTACATTTAATAGGACGGGGACAGTTCATTGATTGGTGGTTATTTTTAAAACATTTAAAACACAGTCCCTTTTCTCGCAAACGGGATGTACGTGTTTGTAGGTTTGGATATTGTGTACATGCGTTTGAAAGGTGGGAGAATTGGTT